CTAGCACAAGGACATAAAAAACCAATGCTACAAACTAGCAATACCATGGGAGATAGTAAACATGGGGATGCCCCAAGAAATAGTGAAGATAAATTACCAGAAATAACGGTGAAGACTCCATTGTTAGTAATAGTGCTGAAGATAGAAATGAGACAGGAAAACACACACCAGTAGGGGATAGAGTCACAAAAAACCAAGGCAAACAGAAACCAGTCCTATACAAATTCTATGCACTTGGTATCTGCAGGCATGGAATATCTGGAAAAACAGATGGGACATGCAACTTTGACCACCCCAGAAAATGCTGTGCCCATATGACAACAGGAAAATGCAGCCTTCCTTCCTGTAATCTTTTCCATCCTGAAATGTGTCATTCTTCAGTTCAGGAAAGACAGTGCTATAACTTATATTGGCAGGCACACCACCTAAAGGGCACAAAAAGGTACAAAGCATCCAGACCATGGGAAAACCTAGGTAGCCACGGCCACTCCAGGGAGAAAGGCTTTTTAGCTGCCAGGAAGGGGAATAAAAAAAGCTGGCAGGAAATGACGAAAATCATACACCAACTCCAATCATTTCTGGAGTGGAATCACAGTCGATGACCTCCACTCCAAAACAACAGATATTAGTGACAGCAAAAAAAAAGATAACTCCCCCATCCCATACGACCAATCCGACAACATTCGTCTTTGCAAATATACAGGGTCTAAAGCCAGCAACGAACAACAAAAACCATTCATCCATGGACTGCTCAAAAAGTCAAACGCAATGTTCGTAGTTTTTACAGAGACCCACATAAAGGATCACTTGGACAATGAAATATGGATCCCAGGTTGTTGTGGCTGTATACAAGCCTCCGGATGGAATGTCCCAACAATTCCGGGAACAGCTTTTGACAATTGACCACTGTCTAGAAAATCTCTCAGCTCCTGCCCCCAACATCTTGCTCCTGGGGAATTTCAACCTAAGGCACCTAAGATAGAGGAATATAGCAAATAATGTTGTAGCAGAGATAACACCAGGAGGCAGCTCAAATGAAAACTCGCACACACATGCGCTTTTAAATCTCTGCACCAAATTCAACTTAAACCATCAAATAATAGAGCCTACAAGATTGGAGAATACACTGGACCTCATGTTTACTAACACTGATGATCTGATATGTGTCACCATATCAAAAAAATATACATACTCAGATCACAACATAACAGAGGTTCAGACATGTATGTGCAGGGCCCCAGGCTTGACAAAATGTGATTAGTCATGAGGGAGCCTTCACCAAATTCAACACTCAATAACAAAAACGAAGTGGGACCAAATAAACCAAGTCCTAAACGATATAAACTGAGAAGATAGTCTAAGCAACAAAGATCCCAACCTATGTCTAGAACATTACTGTGGTACTCGAGGTATGCTCAAGGCACATTCCTTTAAGGAAAAGGAGATGTAAACTAGAAAGAGAAAGGCACTCCCTATACAGGCAAAGGCAAAGAATAACAGAGTGGCTAAAAGAGGCCAATATATCTGCAATATGTAAGGAGACACTGGTCAGGAAAATAGCAAACATCGAACTAAAGCTAAAGGAATCTTACAGGAGTCAAGAAATGCGGGAAGAACTAAAAGCCATAAATGAAACTGGAAGAAACCCAAAGTATTTCTTTTCTTATGCCAAATCTAAGTCGAGAACAACATCCAGTATTGAGCCCCTTCTTAACACTTTGACTGTCGCAAGCCCCTTTCTGAAACTGTCATTCTATGTCGCAAAATTTTGGGGAAAAAAAAAAATATTTTTTTCTTATGAAATGATAGAGAATCTTTTTCCGATGGTAAAGACACCAAAAGTACGAAATTTGGTTGAAAACTCATGGAATTACGCTCCCGTGAAGTTAGCAGTCTCGGTGACATATACGCATCAGCAATTTTGCCGATTTTGAGCCCTGTTTTTGGCCAATTCTGCTGTTCCAGTTGACCAAACTCATAGCTATTTCTTTAGAACTCCATTTTTTCTATCAGTTGAGTACAAGAAACCACCCATTTACTGATTTGAACTACCCAATAAAGTGGTTACAAATTGGCAATTTGGCCAATTTTGCACAAATTAAAAAAGATGCCAATTTCAAAATAGGGTCCAGAATAAACAATGTAGACATTCTTGGTACTACAATAACATATCCTCTGTTCATTAGTCACGTCTCTAGGCCCCTCTTATATTACTATTGCTTTCTATTTTGATTTTTTATTCATACAAAAAATACAAAATTTACTGTTATGCAGACTACTGCATTATTGTAAAAATGGTATAAATAATATCAGTGCACTAGTGAAAGAATATCAGACTCCCCAGTTGACATGTACTGGACGTGTGGTATGATTTGCTTACTCCTGAACATTGGTAAAAATCGAACATTTCTGCTACTTTGAGCTCAATTTCAAGGTCGTTTTCATTGTGAAATTAATCAAAATAATCTCATTTCTATAACATGTTTTCCATTTTATCACATGAAACCATGAAAACGAGAATACAACAATAAATACTATATGAAAATACACCTCAAAATCAGCGTTTTAATCCAAAAAAACAGTCAGTTTTTTTCTCATTATGCACTGCGTGCTGCAGGATTTTTTTTATGTGGTGCACACTGACCACACAGACCCATTCTCTCACATGTGGGCCTACCAGCTTTCTCCTGCTTGATTTGAAGCCGCTATAATTTATGCATATTAATACGTCCGAAACACTGGCTTGTAAGACGTATGTATACGACCAAAACAGTCAAAGGGTTAAACAAAATGGGTCCTACATGGATGACAGCAAGGAAATGAATAAGCTACTCAAGTCCCAATATGACTCGGTTTTTAGCGAGCCGCTAACCAAACTGAGAGTTGAAGACCTAAATGAATTCTTCGTGAGAAACCCACAGAATCTGGTAGACACAAATCTATCTGATATTATTCTGATGCCAAATGACATGCCCATGCACTCTGCCCCAGGCCCAGATTCATGGAACTCCATGTTCATCAAGAATTGCAAGAAGCCCAAATCACGCGCTTTTAACATCCTATGGAGAGGGAGCCTGGACATGGGTCATCCCACAGCTGCTAAAAACAACAGACATAGCCCCAATCCACAAAGGGGGCAGTAAAGCAATAGCAAAGAACTACAGACCGACAGCACTAATGTCCCATATCATAAAACTCTTTGAAAGAGTTCTAAGAAGCAAGATTGCCACCCATCTAGATACCCATAGTTACACAACCCAGGGCAGCAGGGGTTTAGAGCAGGTTGCTCCTGTGTGTCCCGGCTACTGGACCAATATGACAAGGTCCTGGATGCTTTAGAAGGCAAACAAAATGCAGATGTCATATATACAGACTTTGCATAAGCCTTTGACAAGTGTGACCATAGTGTAATAGCACACAAAATACATGATAAAGGAATAACAGGAAAAGCTGGCAGATGGATCTATAAATTCCTAGCAAATGGAACAAAAATAGTAGTAGTAAACAGAGTAAAGTCTGAGGCGGCTACGGAGAAAAGCTCTGTTATACAAGACACAGTACGCACTCCCATCTTGTTCCTCATCCTCATATCTGACATATGGTGCCCCATGGCCTGATCGCTAAAGCTCTTGCTTCACACGACGAGGGTCTGTGCTCGATTCCCAGCATAGGTAGAAACATTAGGGGTGTTTCTTTACACCGGTTGTCTATGTTCATCCATCAGTAAAATGGGTACCTAGGAATTAGTCGACTGGTGTGGGTCGCATCCTGGGACAAGGGCCTAATTTGCCCGAAATGCTCTGCATACCAAGGGGTTTTCTATATAGTAGTATGTCACTGATGTTAGCTAGGCCTGTATACCATGTACATGTACCTGTAGTAAATAAAGATATTATTATTATTATTTTATACAAGGATATAAGCCACAGTGCCGTGTCTTCCTCTGCAGATGACATCCAAATTTGCATGACAGTCTTTCATTGAAGACAGCAAGTCTCCAGGTGGACATCAACCAAATCTTTAAGTGGGCCAAAGAAAACAATATGAAATTCAATGAAGAGAAATTTCAACTACTCTGATATGGAAAATGTGAGGAAATTAAAACTGTATCAGAGTATAAAACAAATTCCAACCACACAATAGAGCAAAAAACTAATGTAAAAGACCTGGGAGTGATCATGTCAGAAGATCTTACCTTCAAAGACCATAACATTGTACGTATCAATCACATCTGCTAGAAAAATGACAGGATGGATAATGAGAACCTTCAAAACTAGGGATGCCAAGTCCATGATGACACTCTTCAGGTCGCTTGTTCTATCTAGGCTGGAATATTGCTGCACACTAACAGCACCTTTCAAGGCAGGTGAAATTGCTGACCTAGAAAATGTACAGAGAACCTTCACGCCACACATAACTGCGATAAAACACCTCAATTACTGGGAACGCTTGAAGTTCCTCAACCTGCACTCCCTAGAATGCAGGTGGGAGAGAGACATGATCATATACACTTGGAAAATCATAGAGGGATTAGTACCAAATTTGCACATGAAAATCACTCCCTATGAAAGCAAAAGACTCAGCAGATGATGCAACATCCCCCCAATGAAAAGCAGGGGTGCTACTAGCACAATAAGAGACAACACATAAAGTGTCATGGGCCCCAAACTGTTCAATTGCCTCCCAGCATACATAAGGGGGATTAGCAATAGACCCCTGGCTGTCTTCAAGCAGGCACTGGACAGGCACCTGAAGTCAGGACCTGACCAGCTGGACTGTGGTTCATATGTCAGTTTACATGCACCAACAAGATCCACCATGAGGCCTGGTCACAGATTGTGCCACGGAGGCATTGACCCCCGGAACCCTCTCCAGGTATACTCCAGGTACACCTCTTGATTTCTCTTTTTCTCATTACTGTCTGCAAAATATTGTCAATTTGGAGCCTGAAGTAAACACTCTTATGTTTTAAATTATATCACAAGAAGAAAAATAAATACCTGTCCTTTGAGGTCTCTGTTGCTTATTCACTGCTGCTTCCTTTTGGCGCTTGAAGTCCTGGCGTAATTCTTCCCTAAGCTCTTCTGGAATAGCTTTCAGAAAACTTTCATCCACCTACAAAAGCAACAATCATTAGTCTAATGCAAGGAGATATGCTAAATAATGTAAATTTACTTTCAGAAAATGACTTTAAAATCAGTGGAATACAGTGGAACCTCGGTTTTCATGATAAACCTTTCTAAAAAGTCTGATGAAAACCGAATCGTATGAAAACTGAAGCAATATTTCCCATAAGAAATAATGTAAATCCAATTAATCCATTCCAGACACCCAAAAATATTAACAAAAAGTACATTTTATAGAGAATAACTATAGTTTTACATACAAACATTAATGAGAAATAAATATAAATGAATAATGAAATGGATAAATGAACATTTAACATCACTTTTACCTTTATTGAAGACTCTTGTTGGTGTATGGAAGATGGCGAGGAGGGAAGAGGGAGGAGGAGAGGTTATTGTTTTTAAAGGGAATCCCCTTCCATAAGGATTTCAGGTATCAAGGCCCTATCTGGGGTCACTTCCCTTCTTTGTCTTTTACTGGCACTAGGATCAGCTTGAGAGTCACTGTACCCCTGTCACAAAAAATCTGTCCAGAGAGGTCTGTTTCTGGCATCTCTCTAAGATTTGCCTACAATAAGACAAGGCATTGTCCCATTAACTCATGGTTAATGAATTTACTAAAAATTTATACGAATAAACACAAAATCACGTGAAAATTCACAGTTACACTGTGGGTTGTTCACTGAATGGTAGCAACGGGTGTGCTGACACTAGTGGGCAGTCATGGCTTTGTCTCAAGAGAGAGTTAAAGAGGTAAACAAGGGTAACGTGTGATGTCGTCACTCATTTTGACCCATACAAGTTCTAGCATGCGAGTTGTATTCCAAACCATTGTCATATACCATCCCAAAATTTTCCCATCCCAACAGGACATAAACCAATTTGGGACTTATTCAAAGTGGATGTATACAAGGACCACTGTATAAAGGTATATAATCAGTTTCAACACACAGCATCAAGGAAAAATTCCCTCTCTAGATTGGCGCATGGTAATCAATTTTATTATTATTATTGCATTATATTTTTTAACACAACGCCATCTCCACCCAAGCGGGTTTTGACCTGAAAAAGAAGGGAAACAAAGTTCTCCTTTTACATTTAGTAATTTATACAGAAGGGGTTATTAGTTCCTTGCTCCCAACATTTTAGTCGCCTCTTGTGACACGTATGACTTACAGAGGAAGGATTCTTCTCCACTTCCCCATGAAGTTATTATTGCCAGTATATTCTTGGAGAAGTGTTAAACATGCTGTGGTCATACATTACCTAAGAAATGGAAAATAACAGACCAACATACAATTGGTCTGCATAAATACAAAATCTACCTATTTACCATTTTCAAATTACTGTACCAAAAATTATCTAAATTACAACAAAGAAATGTAAGATGATTATACATTTTACTCATTGGAATACATGTTGAATCAGATTTTACAATTAATGAACAAGTATAATGCATATATATTCATTCCATTGGCATTCCAAGGTCCTGCATAGAGCCCACATTTAAGGTGATTTTGGAAGGTTCTAGGGTTCAATTGGCATATAAAATTGTTGTCAATGACTCTAGGCAGTATGGGAAACTCTTTGTCATCTTCAAGTAATTATTCAGAGTGCCCTAACTCCTTTCCAAGGAAAGTGAGGAATTCAGATGTGAAGCAGTACTGCTCCAGACTTGGGAGAGGGGGTTTCCCAATATTTTTCAATCACTCATAAGAGGGAATAATGACTATTTGGACTTACTTTCATCATTCATTAAAAATATGGCCCACAATTAGGAAAAAATCTGCTGACTGCTGTACTAAAGAATATAAACATAAATCAAGAACACCACTTAAAAATAAGGAAACCCGAATTGTAAACACACCTGAGAAAAACTAGTAATTAATGCTTCATTTTGTGCATCTTCTGAAACAAGTGAAGAGTTACTATTGCAATCTGCCTCTTCAGCAATTGTGGCAGTAGCAATTAAGTTACCACTGGATCTTCTCTCACTGTGTTTCTGGCAGTCATCTTTAGTGCTGTATGGAACATCCTTTCCACTCTCATTTACTGCTATAAAATCTTCTAAATCATTTCCTCCACTTAATTCAACAAAATGTGATGTCAAAGTACCTTTTCCATGAATCCTAGGCACCTTTGCAAAGTCAGACTCTTGTGTAGTTGATTTCTTGGCAGGTTGTACGTAACCTGATGTACTTGGTTTTGGTTCCTCAGTTATCACCAATCTGTCACCACCAGCAACCCCATCACCAAGTGTTGGAATAATATAACCCTGCTGACTGTACTCAGCTATTACTTGGTCTCTTATCTCTTTAGGAAGAGCCATGAGAACTTCAAGGTCAATGTTGTCTTTTTGTGAAGTTTCGTTTGTTAGAGACACTTGTGCATCACCACTTGGTGCAGGTACAGCAGTACTAGATCCTAGTAGTGCCCCTGGTGTTTTTGAGTGAATTTTTTCTCCTGCCACTTGCTTCAAGTGGCAGAAGCCTACATTGATATGAGAAAATTTATTATCCTCAAAAGTTGTGTGATCAGTTTCTGTAGAATTTATGGGACTGATGGAAGGGCTAACTGTCTTGTTGGTGCTGCTCTTGGCTATTAGAAAGTTTTTAATAGAAGTTCCACCAGATCCAAAACCTCCTGATGAACCTTGGTGCCCCTCCAGACGTGACACCTGTAAGGCACAGAACATGTACTGTATTATATCAAATTCATTCTTGTTATTATTATATGGCTTAAAAAACACAAGAATATATTTCTGTATTAAATCTGTATGTCTTATAATCACAAAATTAACAATAATTTAAAAAGTAATAATTAAAACCCTTTCCTTTCATACTGTTACATCAGACTTTCCTCATCAATCATAAATTTTTACAGTATCAATGGTCTTACAAACAACTTAAAGTTTTGCTAAAGTTATGAATGAAAGGTTAAAGCAAAGCAGTGATGTGAGGCTTTATGCTCTTGGATGTAAACAAAGTAACCTGATGCTCAGACTCTTACCTACAAAACATTCTAGACCTACAGATTCTCCTGACATCTTTCTTAACTTCAACACATCAGCCTTCATTTCTCTGCCCAGCTTATCACCATTCATCTCTAATGTGCAGTGCTGAACAAACCTTCCCAGCTCAGTGCTTCCCTGGACCTATCACATGACTAAGAAAGTTTTGCTACACTTCACCTAACACATGGCTTTAATAAGATATGGAATATAATGAAATTAGATATGGAATATAATGGCTTGGGAAAGCATCTCTAATCACAACATGGGTGTCTATAAGAAGACAGGTTCAATGTATCGAACAATAAATTTACAATCATTTTTCAGGAAAGCATTAACTTCATAAATGGGAGGACCTACTGCATATAGATGTTAATTTTTTAATACACTGGCTGTTTCCCACCAAGATAGGGTGATCCAAAAAAGAATAAGCATTTCCACCATCACTCAATCCACCACCATCTTGCCAGAGACGTGTCTACATTGTAGCTCAGATGCTTCTCCAAACTGTAATATCCCCACTCCTCCTTCAGAAAGCAGGCATTGTACTTTCCACCTCCAGGGCTCAAGTCCAGCTAACTGGTTTCCCTGAATCCCTTCATAAATGTTACTTTGCTCACACTCCAACAGCACATCAAGTCATAAAATCACTTGCCTCCACTCCTATCTAACACACTCACAACACACCTATTGGATGTTCAAACCCCTTGCATACAAAACCTTCTTTACCCCCTCCCTCCAACCTTCTCTAGGATAACCCCTACCTCTCCTTCCCTCTGTTACAGATTTAAACATCCTCCAAGTCATCCTATTTTGCTATATTCTCTCTAGATGTAAAACCACCTCAATTACCCCTCCTTAGCCCTCTATTATTATTTCTTAGTTATGGGCTTGGTCATGGTTTTGGTGATAATTTTTGAAATATTTTGGGTTACCTAGTGTGACCCAGTTTGACACAGTCAAAACTTCAAATTAAGTATGAACAAAACAAAAAGTGAACACACTTGGATCCCAACATTAAGTACGAACACATGAAGAGTGTACACACCTGGATCCCAACACCCCTGAAGTCCTGAGGCTGAACCTTTACTTGGTGCAGCAAAGACAATGCCTCTCTGTAAATATTAATGAAGTTAGTTAAGCTAATCAACCATAAATCATGAAGAACAATAAATTACATATTGCTGAAAGATCATCTGAATATTGCACTTAACCCTTTAAGGGTTCGTGCCATTGTTCTATGGGTTTAAAGCCAGGGCCCATGCCATAGTACTATGTGATGAACTCAGCTCACTCACATAAGCTGTGAGTGGTAAATTTGGGCCTAGATACAAGAGAGTGGCTCTATGTGGTAAGTGTGCACCATAAAAAAATATCCTACAATATGAAAAAAAAAAACTGTGACGGGGTTTTTGGTTTAAAACAGCGAACTTGTGGTGTATTTTTGCATGGCTTTTACGAGTGTATTCATGGTTTCTTGGTCTCCTTTGACAGAATCGAAGATATATTACAGAATTAGAGATGATTTTGATTTTTTAGGTCTGGAAATACCTTGAAATTGAGCTAAAAGTAACAGAAATGTTCAATTTTTGCTGATGTTTAAGAGTAAACAAATCACATCACGCATCCAATATACATCAACTGGTGGATCAAATAAGTGTTCACAAATGCAATGATATAATTTATACAATTATTACAATATTCCAATACAGTAAATATTCTATTTTTTGGTGTGAATACAAATTCACTGTGTGAATAAAAAATCAAAATGGAATTCATGTGTAAAGCCTGGAAATGTAACTAATGAACAGATGAAATGTTATTTTAATACCAGGAATGCCTGCATTGTTTATTTTGGACCCTGTTTTGAAATTGGAATATTTTGAAATTTATTTGAAATTGGCCAAATTACCAATTTCTGATCACTTTATTGGGTAGATGAAATAGATGACTGGGCAGTTTCTCATGCTCAATCAATAAAACAGAAGGCATACTTGCAAAATAGCTAAGAATTTGGACAATAAACAATGTAATTGGCATAAAATAAGTATCAAAATGGGCAAAATCGCTGATGTGTAAATATCATTGACACAACAAAATTCATGATGCGGAATTTCCTCAATTTTCCATTAAATTTTGTACTTTTGTTTTATTACCTTCAGCAAAAGATTCTCTACAATTTTATAAGAAAACATACCAAAATTTTTTTTTAAATTCTTGGACCCTGTGGACAAGTCTCAGAACAGGGGTCTGGACCCTGAAAGGGTTACTTAATTTCTAAAACAAAATGCTTTCATTAACATTTGATGCACTATAAAAACCACTGAAAACATTGATAAATTCTAATTTACCACAAAACTCATCACATCATCTCCCACTAATAAATACAGTAGAAACCTCTAATGCAAAGTACTGGCCAAGTAAATGTACATAACTGCAACTTTGTGAAATTTGGGTTTGACACCCTGTTGTACAATGCATTCATTACGTCAGTGTTATAAATGACTTCTCACCTCTCTATGATAGATGATGAAGAAGTTGCTGAGGATATGGACACAGACTTTGCAATATTATCACAAACACCATGACCCATAAACTTAGCTGTCTCTACTGGAGCATCCTTTGCACGTACCTGAAAGAATATGATTTTGACTAGATATGGAGACAAATGGTATGAAGCCAACAAATGGTCAAAAAACACAACTGTGAAACAGGCTTCTTCATTCAATGGCTAGGTTGCAGTATGGATGGACTGTGAGAAAGTGGCACTGCAGGAAGCCTACCAGTCCTTCTGACAACCTGTTTATGTAAGACAAGTTGAGCTATAGGTTTGGAAAAACTGAAAACTTCTTTATTCTGCTGGATTGTATTTCATGTTCAGACTGGCACAGCTTCAGACATCTGTGTCGTGTTTTGTGCATTTCCTTCATGACCAGCTGAGCGCCCTTCCCGGATACCAGAAGTGCAGTCTGGTCCCTATGCATCATTTATTTTTATTTATTTATTATCACACCGGCCGATTCCCACCAAGGCAGGGTGGCCCGAAAAAGAAAAACTTTCACCATCATTCACTCCATCACTGTCTTGCCAGAAGGGTGCTTTACACTACAGTTTTTAAACTGCAACATTAACACCCCTCCTTCAGAGTGCAGGCACTGTACTTCCCATCTCCAGGACTCAAGTCCGGCCTGCCGGTTTCCCTGAATCCCTTCATAAATGTTACTTTGCTCACACTCCAACAGCACGTCAAGTATTAAAAACCATTTGTCTCCATTCACTCCTATCAAACACGCTCACGCATGCCTGCTGGAAGTCCAAGCCCCTCGCACACAAAACCTCCTTTACCCCCTCCCTCCAACCCTTCCTAGGCCGACCCCTACCCCCCGCCTCCTTCCACTACAGACTGATACACTCTTGAAGTCATTCTGTTTCGCTCCATTCTCTCTACATGTCCGAACCACCTCAACAACCCTTCCTCAGCCCTCTGGACAACAGTTTTGGTAATCCCGCACCTCCTCCTAACTTCCAAACTAGAATTCTCTGCATTATATTCACACCACACATTGCCCTCAGACATGACATCTCCACTGCCTCCAGCCTTCTCCTCGCTGCAACATCCATCACCCACGCTTCACACCCATATAAGAGCGTTGGTAAAACTATACTCTCATACATTCCCCTCTTTGCCTCCAAGGACAAAGTTCTTTGTCTCCACAGACTCCTAAGTGCACCACTCACTCTTTTTCCCTCATCAATTCTATGATTCACCTCATCTTTCATAGACCCATCCGCTGACACGTCCACTCCCAAATATCTGAATACGTTCACCTCCTCCATACTCTCTCCCTCCAATCTGATATTCAATCTTTCATCACCTAATCTTTTTGTTATCCTCATAACCTTACTCTTTCCTGTATTCACCTTTAATTTTCTTCTTTGCACACCCTACCAAATTCATCCACCAATCTCTGCAACTTCTCTTCAGAATCTCCAAGAGCACAGTGTCATCAGCAAAGAGCAGCTGTGACAACTCCCACTTTGTGTGTGATTCTTTATCTTTTAACTCCACGCCTCTTGCCAAGACCCTCGCATTTACTTCTCTTACAACCCCATCTATAAATATATTAAACAACCACGGTGACATCACACATCCTTGTCTAAGGCCTACTTTTACTGGAAAAAATTTCCCTCTTTCCTACATACTCTAACTTGAGCCTCACTATCCTCGTAAAAACTCTTCACTGCTTTCAGTAACCTACCTCCTACACCATACACTTGCAACATCTGCCACATTGCCCCCCTATCCACCCTGTCATACGCCTTTTCCAAATCCATAAATGCCACAAAGACCTCTTTAGCCTTATCTAAATACTGTTCACTTATATTTTTTCATGTAAACACCTGGTCCACACACCCCCTACCTTTCCTAAAGCCTCCTTGTTCATCTGCTATCCTATTCTCCGTCTTACTCTTAATTCTTTCAATTATAACTCTACCATACACTTTACCAGGTACACTCAACAGACTTATCCCCCTATAATTTTGCACTCTCTTTTATCCCCTTTGCCTTTATACAAAGGAACTATGCATGCTCTCTGCCAATCCCTAGGTACCTTACCCTCTTCCATACATTTATTAAATAATTGCACCAACCACTCCAAAACTATATCCCCACCTGCTTTTAACATTTCTATTTTTATCCCATCAATCCCGGCTGCCTTACCCCCTTTCATTTACCTACTGCCTCACGAACTTCCCCCACACTCACAACTGGCTCTTCCTCACTCCTACAAGATGTTATTCCTCCTTGCCCTATACACGAAATCACAGCTTCCCTATCTTCATCAACATTTAACAATTCCTCAAAATATTCCTTCCATCTTCCCAATACCTCTAACTCTCCATTTAATAACTCTCCTCTCCTATTTTTAACTGACAAATCCATTTGTTCTCTAGGCTTTCTTAACTTGTTAATCTCACTCCAAAACTTTTTTCTTATTTTTAACAAAATTTGTTGATAACATCTCACCCACTCTCTCATTTGCTCTCTTTTTACATTGCTTCACCACTCTCTTAACTTCTCTCTTTTTCTCCATATACTCTTCCCTCCTTGCATCACTTCTACTTTGTAAAAACTTCTCATATGCTAACTTTTTCTCCCTTACTACTCTCTTTACATCATCATTCCACCAATCGCTCCTCTTCCCTCCTGCACCCACTTTCCTGTAACCACAAACTTCTGCTGAACACTCTAACACTACATTTTTAAACCTACCCCATACCCCTTCGACCCCATTGCCTATGCTCTCATTAGCCCATCTATCCTCCAATAGCTGTTTATATCTTACCCTAACTGCCTCCTCTTTTAGTTTTAAACCTTCACCCCTCTCTTCCCTGATGCTTCTATTCTCCTTGTATCCCATCTACCTTTTACTCTCAGTGTAGCTACAACTAGAAAGTGATCTGATATATCTGTGGCCCCTCTATAAACATGTACATCCTGAAGTCTACTCAACAGTCTTTTATCTACCAATACATAATCCAACAAACTACTGTCATTTCGCCTACATCATATCGTGTATACTTATTTATCCTCTTTTCTTAAAATATGTATTACCTATAACTAAACCCCTTTCTATACAAAGTTCAATCAAAGGCTCCCATTATCATTTACACCTGGCACCCCAAACTTACCTACCACACCCTCTCTAAAAGTTTCTCCTACTTTAGCATTCAAGTCCCCTACCAAATTACTCTCTCACTTGGTTCAAAGGCTCCTAACATTCACTTAACATCTCCCAAAATCTCTCTCTCTCCTCTGCATTCCTCTCTTCTCCAGGTGCATACACGCTTATTATGACCCACTTCTCGCATCCAACCTTTACTTTAATCCACATAATTCTTGAATTTACACATTCATATTCTCTTTTCTCCTTCCATAACTGATCATTTAACATTACTGCTACCCCTTCCTTTGCTCTAACTCTCTCAGATACTCCAGATTTAATCCCATTTATTTCCCCCCACTGAAACTCTCCTACCCCCTTCAGCTTTGTTTCGCTTAGGCCAGGACATCCAACTTCTTTTCATTCATAACATCAGCAATCATCTGTTTCTTGTCATCCGCACTACATCCACGCACATTTAAGCAACCCAGTTTTATAAAATTTTTCTTCTTCTCTTTTTTAGTAATTGTAATAACAGGAGAAGGGGTTACTAGCCCATTGCTCCCGGCATTTTAGTCGCCTCATACGACACGCATGGCTTACGGAGGAAAGATTCTTTTCCACTTCCCCATGGACAATAGAAGAAATAAAAAAGAACAAGAGCTATTTAGAAAAAGGAGAAAAACCTAGATGTATGTATATATATATATGCATGTGTGTGTCTGTGAAGTGTGACCAAAGTGTAAGTAGGAGTAGCAAGATATCCCTGTTATCTTAGCGTGTTTATGAGACAGAAAAAGAAACCAGCAATCCTACCATCATGCAAAACAGTTACAGGTTTTTGTTTCACAGTCATCTGGCAGGACGGTAGTACTTCCCTGGGTGGTTGCTGTCTACCAACCTACTACCTGCCTGCATCATGCAGGCATTATTTAAGTTGTTAGCCCTGCAGGTACACTGATGTTCTTCCAACCTGAACTGAAGGCTACAGGAGGTCTCTCCAACATATTTCTGGTCACAACTGCCACATGGAATGATGAAGAAACTTCCATTATCATGGTTTTGCCAGTTGTCTTTTTGCCTGGTCAAGTTATTGATGGTGCTGGATATGACAGTGGTAACACCTATGTTGTTCTTGGCAGGGGTTTGTGTAATATATCCTGTGGTGTGGCTTGTAGCAAGAATGAGTATTCTGTCTGTTATTCTCCAGTTCTGACAAAGTTAAGATTTTGCATGCACAATCCATGCAGTCCCAGATGGTGTGTGAAGGAAATTTTTGCATCCAGAAAATCTTTAAGAATACTGCATTCTTCCACCAGGAATTCTGGGCTGGCATATGCCAATGAGTGGTTGTGGTGTACATAGTAGTGTATCATGTCATTCTTGTTAGTAGGTGCAGAGTTCAACCCAAAGGCAGATAAGCTCATTCTTGAAGCTGAATGGCCCCACTTGCAATTGCTGTAGGGGATTTTCCTAAGATTTCTAGAAAGCTCAGACCTCAACCATCTGTTGCAAGGATCAAAAGATTGTCCTGCAGTTGGCATCGTATATTTCTGCACAGACTGTATATAGAGAGCTCACACTTGTTTGGCTTGAGAGTGGTCAACAAATGTAGGTGAGGAGGAGGCCTGCAACCTGATCCCTCCCTCCCCATATTTTTTTTTTAACACACCAGACAACTCCCACCAAGGCAGGGTGACCCAGAAAAGAAACACCTTCAAAGTTTTTCTTCTAACAATTTCAGGGTCGGTGCTGTATATCTACGGCTTTGAAGCCAGGGTCCAAATCTACACCATGAGCTCAGCTCACTCAGATAACCTGTGAGCAGTAAATTTGGGCCTAGATATGAGAGAATACATCTATGTGGCAAGTGTGCACCACATAAAACAAATCCTGCAGAACGCAGTACATAATGAGAGAAAAAATGAGACCGTAATTTTGGATTAAAACAGCAACTTTGCGGTGC